CAATTTCTATTTCAGATCATGCTCCAATGTTCAGAGTCTTATGAAACCAAATTGCTTCCCAGGGGTGAGCATTTGACCTACTTGTTCAGACACTTCAAATCCAGCTTCTTACTAATACAGACCTGAGGCAGCAAGTGATGGATGAATCAAGTCATTGGATGCCTATCACTAACACGGGAGACCTGGATTGAGTTCCCAGGTGTTGGTTCTGGGTTCAGCCCAGTCCAGGCCACTGTTGGAATTTGGGTAGTCAACCAGCTCTCTCTAATAATAATAATAATAAAGTTGAAAAATTATTTTAAAAATTGTTAAATGGGAATGGGGAATGATTCATAAATCTCTTTAAAATTCTGGGGCGACAGACAGGAAAGAATCTGCAGAAAAAAAGAATCAACCACAAAACTGAGGGATTGCTGGTGTTTAATTATGGACACAGGGAAGGTAGCACAAATTCTGACAGCAAGTGATCAAGATGTGTAAAGAGAACTAAAAGAGAACAGTTTCCCAGAGGCTTAGAAATTTAAAAGTTTTGGGGCCAGTGCTGTGGCATAGCAGATAAAGCTGCCACTTGCAGTGCCCGCATCCCATACGGGTGCTGGTTTGAGTCCTGGCTGCTCCACTTCCAATGCAGCTCTCTGCTATGGCCTGAGAAAACAGTAGAAGATGGCCCAAGTCCTTGGGCTCCTGAACTCATATAGGAGACCCAGGAGAAGCTCCTGGCTCCTGGCACTTGGCTTTAGCCTGGTCCAGCCCCAGCCATTGTGGCCATTTGGGGAGTGAACCAGTGGATGGAAGACCTCTTTCTCTCTCTCTGTGTCTGCCTCTCTGTAACTCTGCTTTCAAATAAACAAATAAATCTCAGAAAAGAAATTCAAAAGTTTTGAAAGCTTCAGTACCTTCAAGTAGGCCAGATACTAAGGTGAAAGTACGGAATTCGGCCATTGGGAAGTGGGATACTTTACACTGTTCAGTTTGGTATCAAATAGCCACATACAGCTATTTAAGCTAATTACAACTAAATAAAAATTTAAAAATTTGCGATTCAGTTTCTTAGTTGTACTAGCCACATTTGCAATGTCCAAAAGCCATCCAACACAAGTGTCTACCATACCAGACAGCTCAGATTATAAAATGTTTTGATAATTGCAGGAAGTACTATTGGGATGCTTTTGAACGCATCCAGTAGTGCACAAGCAAGACTGCAATGGGGGGCATTCAATGTGTTTTTCCTTACACATCTCCCAGGTCTTTTATTTCTGGTCTGTTACTAGATCTTTCCCCCTTCTATCTGCCATTTCTGTGTCTCAGTTAACATTTCCTTCCTTTTTTTTTTAAGATTTATTTGAAAGTGTTAGAGAGAGAGAGATCTTCCACCCGCTGGTTCACTCCCCAGATGGCCACCACAGTCGGAGCTGCGCCGATCCAAAGCCAGGATCCAGGAGCTTTGTCTGACCTGGGATCCCACGGGGTGCAGAGGCCCAAGGACCTGGGCCATCCTCTACTGCTTTCCCAGGCCACAGCAGAGAGCTGGATGGGAAGTGGAGCAGCTGGGACTAGAACCGGCTCTCATATGGGAAGCCGGCGCTTCAGGCCAGGGAGTTAAGCCGCCGCGCCACAGCGCCGGCCCCTCCTTCCTTTTCACTTTACCATGTGAACGGCTCTTTTCTTCTAGTCTCCCCTCCCACTATCAAAAAGAAGCTCTGGTTATATCACTTTGTTTCTCGAATCTTTCTGGGACCCCCTTAGGCCTAGAAAATAGAACAGTGTTAGGTCATGGACGGTGTGGAGGCACCCTCTCTTTTCTACCTTCTTCAACATCTCCCATGCATCTTCCTAACACTCTAGGGTACTCACGTTCCCCCGGCACATTGACGCGCATGCACCTTCCTTCCAGCTCGCACAATGTCCTCTTTCAGCCCCCAGCATCCTCCCCATACCTCCAAGAAGATACAGGAGGAAAGATATGCTGAGAGATCAAGGCGAGGTGAGACCCAAGGAGACAAACTTGTTTGACCTTTTTCCATTTGGGGAGCTCTGAAAAAAATAAGCCGCATTCTAAAACATTACTATGCCCCCAAATAAGAAGCGTTTTACACGGTAACGGAGAGCAAAGACATTCGGCGAAGAAAGGGTCAACAGAGAGCTCCGGGGACCGAAGGGAATTGTGGGAGCTCCGTTCGTCGCCCCGTCGACTCATGGGAAATGTAGTGCGGTTGCTTCCAATATGGCCGCGCCCAGGTGAGTTGGTGTGCGAGTGTCTGCGGCGGGTTCATGGGCTAAAGTGAAGAGGTTGGAGGGAAGCAGTGCCCGCGCGGGAAAAATCTGGCTTAAGCCGAGGCGGAGGAGTGTGGCACTTCTTGCTGGAGAGCACTTTGGGCTGCAATGCCTTTTCCTCTTCCTCTTGTTACCTTCTTTCAGTCTTTTCTATCCGCTTGGCCGGTGGGGGCTGACAGCCCAGGGAAAGGAGGGGGAACCCGAGCAGTGCGGCCCGTGGGCAGTAGGGTGCCTGTGCGTTGGGTGGTTTTGTCAGTGTCCAAGGTGTATATGTTTGTGTTTGGCACGGATGCCCACGTGGGTCTGTGGTCTTAGTCTAGCGCTTCTAGGGCTTTTCTGACTGGACCAGCGTCAGTCCAGTGAAGCAAAGGCGTCGCTGGTGGCCTGATGTCCCACAGGGCTGTGTCTTCCTGTGCTCTTATTTGAGTAATCCCTGTGACTCCTGGGCGTCCCGTGGTGTTGGCTGGTTTTTTGTTTTAATTTTTATTAATATACAGAATGTTATTCTATTGAACATATATATATATTTACAGAGTTAGATAGTGAGAGAGAGAGACAGAGAGAAAGGTCTTCCTTCTGTTGGTTCACCCCCCAAATGGCCACTACGGCTGGCTCACCGCGCTGATCTGAAGCCAGGAGCCAGGTGCTTCTCCTGGTCTCCAATGCGGGTGCAGGGCCCAAGCACTTGGGCCATCCTCCACTGCCTTCCCAGCCCAAAGCAGAGAGCTGGACTGGAAGAGGAGCAACCAGGACAGAATCCGGCGCCCCAACTGGGACTAGAACCTGGGGTGCCGTCGCCTCAAGTGGAGGATTAGCCTAGCGAGCCGCGGCACCGGCCCTGAACATATTTTTTGTCAGCTGTAACCCAGGCACTCAATTCTGTGCCCTTAATAAGTACGTGACATGAAGCAGGTAATTACAGTGTGAGAGAGAACTTTGGAGATGGACAGACGCACTGAGTGTCGATGAAAACACCTCAGAATTCTGGAGGAGGAGAGGCTTAGGAACCAAGTTGGCAGATTTCAGACAGAATTCAGAAGACAATTGAGTGGCTGCCATGTGCCAGATTCTGTTTAGTTGCTGACTGCTACGTGGTGAGTTACACATAGAAAATCCCAACTTCATGGAGCATAGTCTCTGTTAGGGTATAGGAGCAAGAGAGAATAAACAAATTAGCCAGAGTGTAAGGAACTAGACAGTTTGTGCTCTTTTTTTTTTTTTTAAAGATTTATTTTATTTATTTGAAAGACAGAGTTACAGAGAGAGATAGAGACAGAGAGAGACATCTTCCATCCGCTGGTTCACTCCCCAGATGGCCACAACGGCTGGAGCTGTGCTGATCTGAAGCCAGGAGCCAGGAGCTTCTTCCGGGTCTCCCATGTGGGTGCAGGGGCCCAAGGACTTGGGCCATCTTCCACTGCTATCCCAGGCCACAGCACAGAGTTGGATAGGAAGAGGAGCAGCTGGGACTAGAACCGGTGCCCATAGGGGATGCCAGTACTCAGGCCAAGGCTTTAACCCGCTGCACCACAGCGCCAGTCCCAGTTTGTGCTCTTTCAAGAGTTAAAATGAAATGATATGATTAGTGAGGGGTGTATTATTTTCCCCATCATTAAAAATCTTTATTTCATTTAAAAATAGATAATTTAAATGAATATATACTGAATTAAAAAAATGTCAAACAGGAAAGCTCCCTCTCATTCCTGGACTTACCTACCCAATTTGCCTCTGTGGAATCACCCCATGTCACCAGTTTCTTTTGTGTTCTAATGATTTTTATGTACAATGTATATACTTGTGCTATACTTTAAAATCTGGCTTCATTTGATAAGAGTTTAGGTTTTCTAATTTTGCTATTAATGAAGTATAATTTAAGCACACAAGCACTTTTTTTTTTCTATGCTTCCAGGGTCATAATAAGTGCTGTGTTGTTCAAGAAAGGCATGACACACACAGGGAAATATGCAGTAGGATGCATTAGGGTTAAACTTCCTAACAAGCAGGTAGCAGAGTATGCATAATCTTCAAAGGGTCATCCCACAGGGAATTTTCTTGGTCTGGAAGCAGCTGGACTACACTAAGCATGGCTAGTATCCTAGTAAATAGGGACCCTACTCCCATAACATGGCATGGAACATCCAAGCGTCTGTGCAATAGAGGAAGCTCCCTGGTCAGGGTTATGGCTTTCTTAGAAAGGGAGCACCTCCAGATCTCAACAGCTGGTACCAGCCTGTTCCTTGTTGAGGTGACTCAGATCTGCTGAGCCATGGCTGTCAAGCCACTGGACTGGAGGAAAAATGAGTCTCAAATAGTATCCTGCTTTGTCTTTCAAATGCAATGATGTTGCAGGGCAGAGTGCAGGAGACAGGAGAGAGGATAACAGAAATGTGGTTTTGAGGCTCCATCTGCTGGTGCTGAACTCTTGGTAGCTGACTTACGAAAGATTGTCAGCATCTTTTCTGACATTTTTTTCATTTTGTGATCTTTGCTCATGTGAGATATTAATAAAATTATTTTGTGCACCCTCATGCCTCGTTATCCATGATATGCTGTCAAGTTGCTGTTCCAAAGATGGAGATCTTAAAGCGGAATGAAGGTCCTCAGCTGGACTTCATCTTGTTAAACAGTTCTGATATAGCTCTTCTAAAAATGAACAGTAATATAGTAATAAATGAATTTAATCCTCCATAACAAAATGATGAGAGGCATTATTATTATTATCCTTGCCTCTGTTTACAGATGAAGAAAGTGAAACACAGAAATACATGGCTAACTGTCATACAGTTAATGGTTCATGGAGCTGAAATTTGAACCTGGACTCCAGCCACTGTGTTATACTGGCTCATGGCAGTGAATGAGTGTCTGGAGTAACTAGGAAAAGTATGCTTTAATCCCTGTCTTTGAAGACCTCATCGTCCAGTGGAACAAGGTGGATACTAGAAAAAATAATTATATTTAGTGCAATATTAGCAACATCCATTCAGTTATCCGTTTCCTATACATTGTTGGCTTAAAAAAAAAAACATTTGTTTACTTAAGGCAGAGTTACAGAGGAAGAGGGGGAGAAAGAGAGAAAATCTTCCATCCGCTGGTTTACTCTCCAGATGGCCGCAATAACCAGGGCTGGGCTGGGAGCTTCATCCAGGTTTCATGTGAGCAGCAGGGACCCAAGTGCTTGGGCCATCTTCCATTGCTTTCCCAGGCCATTAGCAGGGAGCTGGATCAGAAGTGGAGCAGCCAGGACTCAAACTGGTGCCCATATAGGATGCTGGCAGCTTTGCCCACTATGCTATCACAGCAATGGTCCCACAGTGTTGATTCTTCTTCTTCTTCTTCTTTTTTTTAAGATTTACATTTTATTTCTTTGAAAGACAGAGTTACAGAGAGAGGTAGAGACAGAGATCTTCCATCCACTGGTTCACTCCCCAGATGGCTGCAATTGCTGGAGCTGTGCCGATCCGAAGCCAAGAGCTTCTTCTGGGTCTCCCACGTGGGTGCAGGGGCCCAAAGACTTGGGCCATCTTCTACTGCTATCCCAGGCCATAGTAGAGAGCTGGATCAGAAGAGGAGCAGCCGGGACCAGAACCGGCACCCATATGGGATGTTGGTGCTTCAGCCCAGGGCTTTAACCCGCTGTGCCACATCACCGGCCCCAAGTATTGACTTCTGAAGCTTTCTAACCTCAGTGCCTTTCCTAGGACCATTTTATATTGTTACCTGCCAGCCAGACATTGCAACTGTGCATCTGACCTAGTACCTTAAACATTTTATACTGAAGTCTCTTTTTCTCCCTTACTGAGCAGCTCTTCCTAACCTTCCTCTTGACCTGCTAGTGTTGTGATGACACCACTCGTCTCAATCACTCGGGCTCTATTCTGTTAGTACCTTGTCCTTGATTCCTCTCTGTCTCATGTCTGAGTAGTCATAAGGCCTGTTGATTCTGCCTGAACGTTTTTTCACCTTTTCCCTCTTTCCCTTCCTTCTATTTCTTTCCATTCTGCTGCCTACAGCCCAGATCAGGCCTGCATTTCTGGTTGCTGAGTTGGATTGTTATAGATCTTCTCACCTGTCTCCTGCCTATGGTGCCCTCCAGACAGCCTGCCTTGACTCCACCACATGGCTCTGTGCTAGGAAGCTGGATTGCTAGCATTGCATAGACTGGGCATTTTTTCTTCTGTGCTTAAAGGTTAGAGTTTTGAGTGTTTATTAGCTGTTTTGAAATCTGATTTTATTGAACACGGTAAATTTATTTCTTTTTTGACTTTGAAATGAGAAGAGAATGGGACTGGAAAGTCAAAAATACTAGTATTTTATTTTCTTGCCAGACATGTCCATATGTATTTTAGCATCTACCCTTTGCTGCCTTGTTGAATACCTTCCGCTCTATATCAGTTTATATGTACTTCATAGAGCTGAGACTTTTTTAGAAACCTTAGATGTTACCTTCTTAGATATTCCTTTTTTTTTTTTTTTTTGGTCACTTCTCTAGATTGGTGAAGTAAAGGTAAACTAAGGATTTAAGAGAATTATCACAGAAATTTTTATAAAGTGTGTTAAGATGTGAATAGTGTTATTATAGTTGTTCCTTTGGGACTCTTAAGGTTGACATTTTTTGCCATTTTTTTTCAGTATTGCTATGGACAGCAGGCATCAAAGTAGTCACAAACTCAACAAAGCTGAGAAGAAGTTCTTAAGGAAACAGATTAAAGCCAAGCATACCTTGCTGAGACACGAAGGCATTGAGACAGTATCTTATGCCACTCAGGTGACATGAAACAATTACTGTTTAAATGTGAATGTATTGACATGTTAATGTTTTGTTCATATTTGTCACTAACTGCTCAAGGCTTATAATTATTCAGTCATGTGTAACATCCATATTAAACATACTTTTATAGGACCTTCTGTTTTGGCCTATAGCCCAGCCTATAATTTGAATTTCTATTGATTATGTTGATTGAACTAGAGGAAGTTTTGGATATATATTGATAATAGTGCTGCATGAGTCTTTTCAGGTTACAAAACATACTCATAGTCATTATGACATCTGATTTCCTCCAAATCCTTAAATTCAAGTATATCTCAACACTCAATTATCTTCATACTCATAGTTTCCAAAGTGTGTTTTACCTGGACTTTGATTATTTCTTCCCCATAATATTTTTAAAGGAAAAGAATAAAATTGTAGACAGACTTCAATTATATTTTATCTATTCTGGAGAGAATAAATATTTTTCTAGCGATATGTAAAAATATAGGTACTTTGGGGCCAGCGCCATGGCTCACTTGGTTAATCCTCTGCCTGCGGCACCTGCATCCCATATGGGCGCTGGTTCTAGTCCCGATTGCTCCTCTTCCAGTCTAGCTCTCTGCTGTGGCCCGGGAGGGCAGTGGAAAATGGCCCAAGTGCTTGGGTCCCTGCATCCCTGTGGGAGACCAGGAAGAAGCACCTAGCTCCTGGCTTCGGATCGGCGCAGCGCCGGCCGTAGCGGCCATTTGGGGGGTGAACCTACAGAAAGAAGACCTTTCTTTCTGTCTCTCTCTCTGTCTATAACTCTATCTGTCAAATAAAAAAAATATAGGTAGTTTGTGTAAATTCATAGCATTATAAGATTTTTCAAGAGCAGTGATCTGCAAATTGTCAGGACTGAAGATAACTTCCAAACAAAATGTGAATTCTCTACTTCATAATTCTTATTACTGTCAAAATTGCTTGGATAAATAACTAAAATAATTATTACATTTAATTATGTTGCATGACTCATATGTATTAGGAAATTAACTCCTCCCTTCCTTTCCCTTGTTTTTGTGTTGTCTGCCTTTAGAGTTGCCCACAAATGATTTGGACAGCACCTCTGGAGGCCCTCTAGTATTCCTCAAGTCATGCCTTGTCATCTTCAATGGGGAAGTGGACCCTAGATATTTATGAACTCTCAGCAGCAACTCCTTAGATTTAGGAATGTGGAAATGCTTTTGGAAAATAATTGCATCCAACCAGATTATTTTGATATTTTAATTAATAAACCTCATTGACTGAGGTCTGGGCAAGCCATCTGAGATTAAATTTTTTGCCATATTACATAGTGGGCATGTTTATTTTGTGTGTGCATATACTTAGATACATACAAAGTATTGGCTATCCCAAGACATAGTAAAGCTTTACTTTTGTTATCCAATTTATAGTGAGTTTATTACATTCTTTTCAAATAAGCTTCTAAGTTTTTGACATTGTGTGATAAAATGAATACACTGCGCTGTGTACTAATCTTTAAAAATATTTATTTATTTATTTGAAAGGCAATGTTAGGGAGAGAGAAAGAGAGGGAGAGAGAGAATTGCTTCTTCACTTTTTGGCTAAGATGAAGTGGAGAGGGGGAGATAGAAAGAGAAATCTTCTATCAGCTGGTTTACTCCCCAAATGACCGCAATGGTGAGGGCCGGGCCAGGCTGAAGCCAGGAGCCAAGAGCTTTCTCTGAGTCTCCCACGTAGGGAACAGGGGACCCAGCACGTGGACCATCCACTGCTGACATCCCAGGCACATCAGCAGGGAGCTGGGTCAGAAGTGGAGCAGCCAGGACTTGAACTGGTACCCATATGGGGTGTTGGCTTTGTAGGTGGTGACTTAACCACTGTGCCACAATGTTCTATGTTCTAACCTTGAACTTAGTATGAATCAATGGTTGACCTCAGGCCATATCTAGCTTGTAAGCTAATTATGGATTTTACATTTTTAATAAAGTTTTATTTTATTTATATATTTGAAAGTCAAAGTAAAGAGAGGGAAGAGGCAGAGAGAGAGAAAGAGAAAGTTCTTTCATCTGCTGTTCTCCCCCAAGTGGTGGCTTAACCTATGACACAATAATGCCCATCCTTGGGTTTTACATTTTTAAAGAGTTGTTAAAAAAAAAAAAAAAAAAAAAACCAAGACTGTGAGAGAAACGGATGTGGTCCATGAAGTCTAAAATACTTGCTCTATTCTTTTTAGAAAACTTTGCTAATAGCGGGCATAAATGATGAAATTGATGAGAGCAGGCCATTAATAGTTTACTTTGTTTAGACTACAATGTTTCTAGAAGTCATAGATCATAAAGTAAAACTCTTAACACTTAGCAGAATAATTTTTTAAAAGATTTATTTATTTATTTATTTGAAAGGCAGAGCTACAGAGAGGCAGAGGCAGAGAGAGAGAGAGAGAGAGAGAGGTCTTCCATCCACTGATTCATGGTTCATTCCCCAAATGGCCACAACAGCCAGAGCTGGGCTGATCCAAAGCCAGGAGCCAGGAGCTTCTTCCTGGTCTTCCATGCAGGTGCAGGGACCCAAGCACTTGGGCGATCTTCTACTGCTTTCCCGGGCCACAGCAGAGAGCTGGATTGGAAGAGGAGCAGCTGGGACTAGAACCGGCGCCCATATGGGGTGCTGGCACTGCAGGCGGAGGATTAACCTACTGCGCCATGGCACTGGCCCCAAGTTGAAACATTTAAAGGAAAAAAATTGAATGCAAACTGACTGAATTACGGAAACTGAATTTCCTTAGAGGAAAATTTTCCTGTTTTACGTTTAATAGAATATATTATTGCTTATTCTTTGAACCAGTATCTTTAACTTTTACTTTACTTTTATTTTATTTTGTTTTATTTTATTTTTTTCATCTGTGTGCCTCTGGGTGTATGTTTCTCTGTTGGTTCACTCCCCAGATGGCCCCAACGGCTGGAGCTGCACCAATCTGAAGCCAGGAGCCAGGTGCTTCTTCCCAGTTTCCCATGCGGGTGCTTGGGTTCAAGCACTTGGGCCATCTTCTACTGCTTTCCTAGGCCATAGCAGAGAGCTGGATTGGAAGAGGGGCAGCCAGGACTAGAATCAGCACCCCTATGGGATGCCGGCACCACAGTCAGAGGATTAACCTACTGCACTACAGAGCTAGCTCCACAACCTGTTTTTTTTTTTTTTTTTAAGATTTCTTTATGAATGGCAGGGCAATGGAGAGAGAGAGAGAGAGAGAGAGAGGGAGAAAGGCAAGTAGAGGGATCTTCCATCTGCTCCCCAGAAGCCTTCAATAGCCAGATCTGAGACAGGCTAAAGCAGGAAGCCAGGAACTCCAACCAGGTTTTTCCCATTGCTGGCAGGAGGTCAAGAATTTGGGTCGTCTGCTGCTAAATTCACAGGTACTTTCACAAAAAACCATTGGAAGCCAAGTAGCCAGAACTTGAAGCAGCATTTCCATATAGGATTCCAGTGTCTCAAATGGTGGCCTACTTAATCTAATTTTTTAATTTTAGTTTATTCCTCTGTAAAGTGTGCTAATACTACCTAAATAAATTCACTTTGTTGTGAAGATTATGTAATTGAAGATTAAATGGGTGAAAGCATATAGAACCATCTCTGGCAAAAACCTATTATGGAACTACTTGTTTCTTCTCTCCTCCTCTTTCCCTTTCATTATGCTAAATTTATATATCTGAACAGTAAGAAAGCCATCTCTTAATTTGTATTTATGACAAGTAATGGATATTTCTCTGAAGTAGGCTATTTATATTAAATATAAATATTGAATATATTTAATGTAAAGATTAAAAATAAATATTTATTTAACTTAGGAGTACTTTTTATTCCCCAAATATTTAGTGAATTGCTTTATGTGCTTTGTGTGAAGTTCACAAACCAAATAATCACTAGGAAACCTTTTTCTTTTTCTTAATTACATGTTTGTAGAAGTATTAATTAAAAAGAATCTTACTTAATCTTATTTTTAAATAAACATGTTGACATCAATTACTCATATTGCTTTCTTGTTCTGTTTTTTTTTTTTTTTTTAAAGAACCTGGTTGTTGCCAATGGTGGTTTGGGTAATGGTGTGAGTAGGAACCAACTGCTCCCAGTTTTGGAGGACTGTGGACTGGTGGATGCTCTCTTAATGCCACCTAACAAGCCCTACTCATTCGTGAGATACAAAACCACAGAAGAATCCAGGAAAGCCCATGCTACTCTTAATGGAAAAGAGATAGTGGATGATTTAGGACAAAAGATCATTCTGTACTTAAATTTTGTGGAAAAAGGTATTATCATACAAGTTTTCTTTTAAAAAATTGTTCTTTCATGTGTGATTTTTCGTAGACATAAGTTGAGGCTTTAGTTATTGTGAAACAGGAACATCAGTTAAGCAGTTCTTTTGCTTTAACAAACATTTTTTTTTAAAGATTTATTTATTTATTTGAAAGGCTGAGTTAGAGAGAGAGAGAGAGAGGGAGAGAGAGAGAGGAGATCTTCTATCTACTGGTTCACTCCCCAAATGGCTGCAACTGGCTGGAGCTGGGCCAGACTGAGAGCCAGGAATCAGGACCTGGTTTGAGTACAAATGATGTCTAGCATATGGTAGTCACAGGTAAATACTCATCAAATGATTATATTCATATTTGTGAAGTACTAGCATAATCTGGTCGATATTTACTGTATTACCTTATGAATTTTTATATTAAATAATTCAAAGACGAAAACTGCCTGGCAGAAAAGCTTTAAAAATCATATTGGTAAAATGAATGATCAGATCCCTAACAGTAAATGTGAATATACTATTCCTGTTATCTAAAACAGTAGTAAATTCTTTTTTATTTTCCTTTTAGAGTTGTACTTATCCAAAACTTTGAGGAACACAGGAATTTAAATTTATGCTAAATATTCTTCATTATTGATATTCTTATTTCTTTAGAAAATTATGTTATTTTACATTTAAAATGTATTTAAAAAAGAGAGAGAATCCCATCTTCTTGTTCACTCCTCAAATGCATGCAGTGGGCTGGAGCAGGTCTTCACCAGGCTGAGACCAGGAGCCAGGAACTCAATCCAGGCCTTGTACATGGGCGACAGGAACCCATGTCACTGATGTCTCCCAGGGTGTACGTTAACCTTGAGCTGGATATTGAACCAGGTGTTGCAAAGTGAGACACAGGCATCTTTTTTTTCTTTTAAAGATTTATTTTATTTATATGAAAGACAGAGTTACAGAGAAAGGTAGAGACAGAGAGAGAGGTCTTCCATCCGCTGGTTCACTCCCCAATTGGCTGCAACGGCCGGAGTTGGGCCAATCTGAAGCCAGGAGCCAGGAGCCAGGAACCAGGAGCTTCTTCTGGGTCTCTTCATGGGTGCAGGGGCCCAAGGACTTGGGCCATCTTTTGCTTTCCCAGGCCATAGCAGAGAACTGGATAGGAAGAGGAGCGGCCGGGACTAGAACCGGCGCCCATATGGGATGCTGGCACTTCAGGCCAGGGCTTTAACCTGTTGTGCCACAGTGCTGGCCCCGACACAGGCATCTTAATGGCATCCTAACTGCTAGGCTAAATGGCAGCCCCTGTTTTACCTTCTTGGTCATAGCTACTAACCAGCAGCCTAAAAGCAAAAAATGAGCATTTTAATTTTTAATAATTAGAGACAATTTGACCTTTTTTTGCAAATATTTATTTATTTATTTGAAAGACTTAGAGAGATAGGACAGACATATCTTCCATCTACTGGTTTACTCCCTAAATGGTCACAACAGCCAGGGCTGGGCCAGGGCTGGCCAGGCCTAAGCCAGGAGCCAGGAGCTTCTTCCAGGTCTCCCACATGAGTGCAAGGACCTGAGCACTTGGCCACCTTCCACTGCTTTCTCAGGTGAAATTAGCAAGGAGCTGGATTGGAAGTGGAGCAGCCAGCACTCGAACTGGTGCTCATAGGGAATGCCAGTACTGCTTAACCCACTGCACCACATGCTGGCCCAACAATTTGGCTTTTTAATTGTATTACATACCATGGCTGTGAGAAACTTTGTCTGTTAATGAGATTTAAAGTAACTCAATCATATTCAGAGTATGCTTAAATAAAGTATTCTGTTTCTGTTGGTAATAGCAGTGGATGAAATGTACCAAAATTTTGATATTTGTTTTTGTATTTTTTTAATGTTGTATGCCTTCCAGTGTTCTTATTCCTAAAAAAGAGTTTTATGAACTATACATTGCTATGGGAATGAATTTTTGCAAATAAGAATTTTAAGTTTTATGTGTGACTATTATACTTTGGCTTCCCACAGCACAGTGGAAGGAGTTGGGGCCTCAGGCCTTACCCCCGGGCCTCATGGTTGTAGAAGAAATCATTTCTTCTGAGGATGAGAAAATGCTTTTGGAAAGCATTAATTGGACAGAAGATACAGATAATGAAAATTGTGAGTGACAGTTTTAAATTCTGGTATTTTACAGTTTCTGCAAAATATGCTTAGTGCGCCTTCTTTCTTTCTTTCATTTTATTAAAACTCATAATTTTTCCTCAAAATTATTAAAAGTAGCCTGTATCCAATGTTAGATAAATCATACCAACAATTCTTAGGAACATTAATAATGAATAACATGTAGCTATCAGTTTTAGACTCCAAACTGATTAATATTTTTTAGCCAACATTTATATATATATATATATTTGTTTTCTTAGATTTATTTATTAATTTGAGAGGTAGAGGGACAGCGAGATCGTCTATCTGCTAGTTCACTCTCAAATGGCTGCAACAGGCCAGGCTGGGCCAGGCTGAAGCCAGGAACCAGGAACTGCATCTTGATTTCCTACATGGGTAGCAGGCCCCAAGCCATCATTCACAGCCTTCTCAGGTGCATTGGTGGGAAACTGGATCAGAAGTGGGGCAACTGGGACTTGAACGGGTGCTCTGATACAGGAAGCTGATATCGCAAGTGATGGCATTACCTGTTGTGTCACAATGCAGGCCTGTGTATAAATAACTTTTATAAGCCCTTTCATGAAGATTATTTTATTTTATTTAAAGATTTATTTATTGATTTGAAAGGCAGAGAAATAGAGAGAGGCAGAGAAAGAGAGAGAGAGAGGTCTTCCATCTACTGGTTCACTCCCCAGTTGGCTGCAATGGCTGGAGCTGTGCCAATCTGAAGCCAGGAGCCAGGGGTTTCTTCCAGGTCTCCCCTGTGGGTTCAGGGGCCCAAGGACTTGGGCTATCTTCCTCTCTTACCCAGGCCATAGCAGAGAGCTGGGTTGGAAGTGGAGTAGCCAGGACTTGAACTGGAGCCCATGTGGGATGTCAGCACTGCAGGCGGTGGCTTTACTTGCTACGCAGCAGTGTTGGCCCCCAGATTATTTTATTTGTTTTTCTCATTCTATGGCAAATTTCCTATGAGGAAACACTATTATCTGGTAAAAGCCTCTGGAGATACTTGAAAATTAGAGTTATGCTGTTTCCATATTATTAACAGTGTTATGAGTGGCAGTGTACATGTTTAAGTCTTGCATTGGTCAGGTGAAACGCCTCTAAGTGTTTGTTATAATTTCAGACTTAAAGAAGAACAGATATGAGCAGAATGGTTAATTTTATTAAAGAGTAATTTAGCAGTTGACAGAAGTTATCATTACTAGACTAATTCCTACTTATAATGTTGACTTTGAAATATGTGAAGGACTACAATTATTTTCCTCCCAAATAGTTTACTTTCTTCTCTTCACACAGTTCAAAAATGCTTGAAACACAGAAGAGTAAAGCATTTTGGTTATGAATTCCGCTATGACAACAACAACGTAGATAAAGATAGGCCACTACCCGGGGGTAAGTAATTGTTAATAAGTGATAAATACTGGTTTAGAAAAACAGGTTTAATATATTAGAAATTGAGGGTGTATTTTTTGTTTGTCATTTGTAGTTAAACTTTTGAAATGATAGTATTGAAAACATTTTAGTTAGATAAATAGTATGATTTGTTTGTAAAAAATTCAAACATGAATAAAGCTGACCACTATTTTTGCTTCCATACTTCTTGGAAGTATGAGCTACTAACAATTTATTATTTATTCTTTTAATCCTTTCAAAAATAAGCTTACATCTGTACACACACACATTCCTGTAAGTATACAGAGTTTAACATGTATACTTGGGGTGCCGGTTCTGTCCCGGTTGCTTCTCTTCCAGTCCAGTTCTCTGCTGTGGCCCGGGAAGGCAGTGGAGGATGGCGTAAGTGCTTGGGTCCTGCACCCGCATGGGAGACCAGGAGAAGCACCTGGCTCCTGGCTTTGGATCGGCACAGCGCGCTAGCCGTGGCAGCCATTTGGGGGGTGAACCAACGGAAGGAAGACCTTTCTCTCTGTTTCTCTCTCTCTCACTGTCTAACTCTGCCTGTAAAAATAAATAAATAAATAAAAGGAAGTGGAGCAGCCGGCACATGAACTGGTAACCATATGGGATGCTGGCACTGCAGGCGGCGGCTTTACTTGCTATGCCACAGCACTGGCCCACAATATGTCTTACAAAAGACATCCTATTTAGGAGATATATGAAGATCTTATGTAGGTTATCATTTTACTGAATGTCCTCTAATAACTCATTCAATTAGTTCCTTGTTGATGGATATTTAGGCTATTTTTAGTTTTTCGCTTCTGTAAGCAAACACCTCTTTATGCACTATGCAAAAGTTTCTTGAGAGATACCACTAAGAAGTAAAATTATATCAAAAGTTATACTAATTTAAAAATGTGAATTAATCTAAATTGATCACCAGAACAGCTATACCAACATATTCTCACTGAGTGTGTCCAGTTCCCTGCAACCTTACCAACATATGATATGTGCTGTATATTGAGACTTAATGCTATAACGAGTACTCAAACAGTATATTTCACTTTGCGTTTCTATGGGGGTACAAACTGTTGAAATCTTTACTTAATGTATACTAAACTGATCTTCTGTAACAAAAAAAAAAAAGAAGAAATTATCAATTCCCAACTTGACTCTCGCTGGGATTAAACATGACAATAGGTCTGATCTGATTTCATCATCATTTAAAAAATCATCTATTATTTTTCACTTTATGTTTCTGTGTGGGAGCAAACTGTTGAAATCTTTACTTAATGTATGCTAAACTGATCTTCTGTATATAAAGAGAATCTAAAATGAATCCTCATGTGAATGGAAGGGGAGAGGGAGTGGGAAAGGGGAGGGTTGCGGGTGGGAGGGACGTTATAGGGGGGAAGCCACTGTAATCCATAAGCTGTACTTTGGAAATTTATATTCATTAAATAAAAGTTATAAAAAAAAAGAAAATAAATAAAACTTCAATTTGTGATTTCCTAATTACTGATGAGGGTAACCATTTGTTTCATTACATATCCTTTACCAGTTTTTTATAATGTTGATTAATAAGAATTTACTGTATATTCTGGATAGTAATTCTTTGGTGTAATTCTTTTTTATAATTTTTTATTTATTTGAAAGGCAAAATTGAGAGAGATGAGAGAGAGAGAGAGAGAGAGAGAAAGAGATCCTACATGTGCTGGTTCAGTAAGAGAGAGAGGGAGAGAGAGATGGAGAGAAAGAGACAGAGAGCTCCTGTATCTGCTGGTTCACTGACCAAATGCCCACACACTAGGGGCTGGGCCAGGCTGAAACCAGAAGCCCAGAGTTCCTTCAGGTTTCCCACCTGGATAAAGGGAATAAATCACCTGCTGCCTACCATGATATGCCTTAGCAGGAAACTGGAATCAGAAGTGGACTTGAGACCCAAACAGAGGCATTCTGATATGGGATGTGGTCCCAGGCAGCATCTTAACTGCTACCAAACACCCACCCTCTTGGTATAATTCATTGTTGCAGTTAAATTTTTTATGACTTTGATCTTATAGTTAAGTTTTTTCTTTCATCATGAAACAATATTTACAATTCCCAAAAAACTAAATTAACCAAAGTTAACAAAAAAAGAAGTGGCCAACTTAATTTCCAATATGCATTAAGTTTTATAATGTTACTACTATTTTGCAAAATGCCGAAATTGCTAATAAAATTGTTCCTTGGAGTTTATATTTGATAAAAATCAATGAAATAATTTATAAATTCTGAAAGAATTGTTTTTACTATTGCATTTTGTTTTATTTGTGGGTTTTAATGTTACATTAATGAATCTGAGTGCTATGTTAGAAGCTATTGATTTCTGTCTTTTTAAAATTCTTGGATAAAACAAGCAAAGGAAATATTTTAATGTGAGTTTATGATCAATGATTTTAGGTCTTCCTGATATTTGTGATAGCATTTTGGAGAAGTGGTTGCAGGAAGGTTACATTAAGCATAAACCTGATCAACTGACCATAAATCAGTATCAACCTGGGCATGGTGAGTATTTTAAAATTCCAGGCATATATTTCAGAACCTAAGTAGTATGTAACTCTCTAAGATTAAAAATGTTATTTATTAGGTCAAACTAACTCGTAGGTTACTTTGTTACTTGTGTTGATCCCAATTCTGAAGGAAACTTTAAAGATAGCTTATATGTGTATGTATGTAACATATGAAGAAAATGTGACAAAATGTTAGAAGTTAGAACAAAATTTATAAAGATTTAAAAAAATTAAAAAGCTACACATGAAAAAATCTCAAAATATAAACAGGCTGACACAAATTGCGATTTTTGATTTTGTTGTTGTTGTTGTTGTTATTTCCCAACATTTTATTTAGAGAAGGTGATGATTGCTTGAGAAACATAGGAGATGTGTAATGGAATAAACCAACTAATTTTACAGAAGAAAAGGCTGGTTGGTGGATGATCTTTCTCTGAGAATGTGGGAGACATTTCTAGGATGTTAGCACAAGGTCTTAGTGTTGTTGAGTGTTGAGTACTTGCACTTGTTAGCATTTTCATCTGATATTTATATGATTAACTGATTTTAAGGGCTTAATTAATGGCAAGAATTGTGGAGGCTTTTTTCCCCTCCTGTATTTATCACAATGTATTTTCATTGTTTACTTACCTGTGTATCTTTCCGTTGATCTATAAACTCCTTGAGAACAGGGACTGTGCTTTGCTTGCAGAGTTTGTTTTACTTAACAGTTGCTCAGCTAACATGAATAGATAGATTGGTTGAGCAAGCAATGTCTTAATTATTGATGTGCTTCATCCTCTTTCCTAGCTGTTGCTTTGTTCTACAAGTACTTGGGAACCCACTGTTATCTAGGGGAAAAATGACTTTTGTGTTTATCTTCACATCTTCCTCTCAGGCTAGGATTAAACACATGTCCTAGTTAAGCAGTGACTCCAAGGACTCGATTTTAGAATCAAGTCCCAGTGAAACTTTCATTTAAAGTTAGGAAATGTTTAGTTTTAGGGGCAGGCATTGTGGTGCAGAGAGTTGAGTCTCTCCTGGGACTCCTGCATCCCATAGCAGAGTCCTGGTTCCAGTCCCAGCTACTTGTGATCCAGCTTCCTGCTAACTCAACGGGGAAGGCAGCAGATGATAGCCCAGGTACTTGGGTCTCCTGTTTTTGGCCTGGCCCAACCCTCACTGCTGAAGGCATTTAGGGAATGAACCAGCAGAATGGAAAATCTGCCTTTTGCTGTCTGTCACCCTACCTTTCAACTAAACACACAAATAGATCTAAAAAAAAAATCATTTATGGTTACATTTAATGTCTTTTTAATCACATTCACCTTAAATGCTTCCTTTTAACTAATAACATAATATCTTCCTGATTAGAAAGTATTTTTGCCTTAATAGTGTGGGCTTTGTTTAGAGTCATCTTTAACATACTAAGAGGAAAAATGAAGTGACATGTTACCCTATTTTCCATCTCAGGAATTCCTGCTCATATTGACACGCATTCTGCTTTTGAGGATGAGATCATTTCTCTCAGTTTGGGGTCAGAGGTATGTTTTACCTTGTACCATGCCCTTTTCCTAAGATCACTCACATTCACAATTAAAATGAATTGATTCAAAAATGAAAAATAAGGGCACTAATATACTTTCATTTCTTACAGAATATGGTTTCCACACTATCTCCTTTTAATTGCCTAAAATTTTATTTATCAACCCATCAGATGTCAGGAAAACACCTATAATTTAATTTTTTACATGTTGCCTTAAATAAAATCCCGACTTTCCTGTTTCTACTTTTACCTCCTGATGCACCATTGCCACCTAGTGGCAAAAGACAGTAACTGCAGACTATAGAAAAATGAAACAAAACTATAATGTAGGTGTCCAGAATTTAGATAAATGTCTTCCAGATATAACCTGATTCAATCCCTTCAAAACTCTGAACAGTAGAGGGTAATGTTCTCATTTTTACAGAAAAAGAATAAGAGGATCATGTTTATTCATCGGTTTGTTTCTGTAGCTACACTTTGCTTGAATTTCTAGGGAGGATATAAAAAACATGATTTAAAGGGATCCATGCAAACTACAGACAGAATTTTAGGTATAAGTAAGAATTCTAAACATAGAATAATCCCTAAAACGTAGAATAATCCCTAAAACATTAGATCATCTCGTCTAACTAGAAGTTGCTTCCAATTCTGATCTTGTTTCTGGAGGCGAGTACTATTTACTAGTTTGAGTCTCCCTACCCCCACATAGAGGCACAGTTCTCAACAGTCTGGTCTTTGAGTAGTTTGCTCCAGAGATGTTCTGATCCTGGAGTGATTCTCATCACTTCTATCCATCAGCAATGACTCACGGGGCACTTCTCTTTTAGGAGTTTATTGCTTTAATGGATAAATGTTGCAGTACCTTCTGATCTTCAGCACAAACTGGAAAAAACTGCCCATTTTCTTTATACAGCTTAAGACAACACATACAATCTGCCTTCTTCAACTTCAAATTTAGCCTTCTGTATTTGCATTTATGAAAAATGTTTACAGCCTCAGAAGCCAAACAATCTCTTCTTAGTATTTGTCTTGATTCCAAGTTTTAACTTGTTTAAACCTAAGCTCTATCTTCATATTCAGCCATATTTACCACCTGCTGCCATTCCCCCATACAAATCAAAACAAATTTTACTTTTTCTGGTTTTTCTTCTCTGGATAATAATTCAGAACCTGGGAAATAGTCTTGACCTTTTTTATTTTTAAATTTTAATTAATTTATTTGGGGGGGGGCATTCCACTATTCACTTTCCACGGGCTCACAGTGGCCTGGCGTTGGCCAGACCAAAACCATGAGCTGAGACCTAAAAACACGTCTGCCCACAGGGGTGACAGGAACTCAATTATTTGGGCCATCACCTACTGCCTCCCAGAGTGTGCATTAGCTGGAAGCTAGGATTGGGAAGGGAGCTGGGGTGTGGACCTAGGGATTCCAATATTGGGATTTAGGTGTCTTAACTACTCGGCCACACTCTTGCCCCATGCTTTTATTTTTTTTTTCATCTTTTTTTTTTTTTTTTAAGATTTTATTTATTTATTTGACAAGTAGAGTTACAGACAGTGAGAGAGACAGAGAGAAAGGTCTTCCTTCCATTGGCTCACTCCCTAAATGGCCACCATGGCTTGCGCTGCGCTGATCCGAAGCCAGGAGCCAGGTGCTTCTCCTGGTCTCCCATGCGGGTGCCAGGCCCAAGCACTTGGGCCATCCTCCACTACCCTCCCAGGCCACAGCAGAGAGCTGGACTGGAAGAGGAGCAACTGAGACTAGAACCCGGCGCCCATATGGGATGCCGGTGTCTCAGGAGGAGGATTAACCTAGTGCGCCACAGCACTGGCCTCTCATGTTTTTATTTTTATAGATCTTACTGTTTATTTGTTATTTATGTTTTGTTTGTCCATCTTCTTATCTGTAGTAGATAAATTATAGACTCCTGATTACAGAGACCATAGCCTATTCATATTTATATTTTCTACAGACTTGGTACCCTTTTTTACTTGTATCAAATTAATGCATTATAAATGGGTATATTCTATAATTTTGCAAAAATAACCAGTTAAAGGCATATATCCAAAACTAGCTTGACATGTATTTTTAAGATGATAAGTTTTGCTCTGGAGCAGGCATTGTGATGCAGTGGGTTAAGCACAATTTGAGATGCCTGCATCTCTTGTCCTACTGCCCAGTTTGAATCCTGGTTATTCCACAGTTCCTGCTAGCTAGTGATGGCTCAAGTTCTTTGATTCCTGCCACCCATGTGGGAGACCCGGATGAAGTTCTTGCTTCCTAGCTTTGACCTGGCCCAGCCCTAGCTGTTGCAGGCATTTGGAGAGTGAACCAGCAGATGGAATATCTCTTCCTCTCTGGCTATCTTTCTGTCTCTGTCACTCTGCCTTTCAAATAAATAAATAAATCTTAAAAATAAATTACTTCTATCATTTTTTTTAAAAAAAGTACTGCTTTATTGTGTCCCCTTTTTGTTTTAAAATTTTTTACATATGAAGCAAAGAGATTTCATGTATTTCATAGATACAATTCTTTTTTTCCTTTTTTTCTTTTTCCCAATTATACCATAGATAAAATTCTAAGAACATAACCATACTTCTCACCCTTCCTCCCTTCCTTCCTCTCTCAATCCCCCTCCTCCCTTCTTTTTTCCTTTAATTTTTATAATAACATACTTAAAAAAAAGATTTATTTATTTATTTGTTTATTTGAGAGGTAGAGTTACAGACAGAGAGAGGGTGAGACAGAGTGAAAGGTCTTCCATCTGCTGGTTCACTCCTCAAATGGCTGCAACGGCCGGAACTGGGCTGATCCAAAGCCAGGAGCCAGAAGCTTCTTCCTGGTCTCCCACTTGGGTGCAGGAGCCCAAGCACTTGGCCCATCCTCTACTGCTTTCCCAGGCCACAGCAGAAAGCTAGACCAGAAGAGGAGCAACCAGGACTTGAACTGGTGCCCATATGGGATGCCAGCACCACAGGCAAAGGCTTAGCTCACTATACCACAGTGCTAGCCCTGCATAACATATACTTTCAATTTGCTTTATAATCACAGGGTTACTGCACCACTAACCATAATATTCAACAAGTAAGACATAGAAAGACTACTGTTCCACAGGAATATAGACAAGGCTATAAATAATAATCAAATCATAAGATGTCAGTTTCATCCTTATACTTTTTTTTGGTATTCTATGTTAATCAGAGAAAATTTATCAAAGAAAATGTATGATTTTGCCGTTTTGGAACCTGGCATATTTCTTTTTTTTTAACTTTTATTTAATGAATATAAATTTCCAAAGTACAGCTTATGTACTACATTGGCTTCCCACCCCCCATAACTTCCCTCCCACACGCAACCCTCCCCTTTCCCACTCCCTCTCCCCTTCCATTCACATCAAGATTCATTTTCAATTCTCTTTATATACAGAAGATCAGTTTAGCATATATTAAGTAAAGATTTCAGCAGTTTGCTCCCACACAGAAACACAAAGTGAAAAATACTGTTTGAGTACTAGTTATAGCATTAAATCACAATGTACAGCACATTAAGGACAGAGATCCTACATGAGGAGTAAGTGCACAGTAACTCCTGTTGTTGACTTAACAAATTGACACTCTTGTTTATGGCATCAGTAATCACCCTAGGCTCTTGTCAGGAGTTGCCAAGGCTGTGGAAGCCTTTTGAGTTCACCAACTCTGATCATATTTAGACAAGGTCATAGTCAAAGTGGAAGTTCTCTCCTCCCTTCAGAGAAAGGTACCTCCTTCTTTCCTTCTTTGATGACCTGTTCTTTCCACTGGGATCTCACTCACAGAGATCTTTCATTTAGGTGTTTGTTGTTTTTTTTTTTTTTTTTGCCAGAGTGTCTTGGCTTTCCATGGCTGAAATACTCTCATGGGCTTTTCAGCTGGATCTGCATGCCTTAAGGGCTGATTCTGAAGCCAGAGTGCTGTTTAGGACATCTGCCATTCTATGAGTCTGCTGTGTATCTCGCTTCCCATGTTGGATCGTTCTCTCCCTTTTTTATTCTATCAGTTAGCATTTTTTTTTTGACAGGCAGAGTGGACAGTGAGAGAGAGACAGAGAGAAAGGTCTTCCTTTTGCCATTGGTTCACCCTCCAATGGCCGCCGTGGCCGGCTCGTTGTGGCCAGCGCATCGTGCTGATCCGATGGCAGGAGCCAGGTGCTTTTCCTGGTCTCCCATGGGGTGCAGGGCCCAAGTACTTGGGCCATCCTCCACTGCACTCCTGGGCCATAGCAAAGAGCTGGCCTGGAAGAGGGGCAACTGGGGCAGAATCCGGCGCCCCGACCGGGACTAGAACCCCGTGTGCCGGCATCGCAAGGCGGAGGATTAGCCTATTGAGCCAATAGATTTTCTTTCTTTCTTTTTTTTTTTTTTAACTTTTATTTAATGAATATAAATTTCCAAAGTACGACTTATGGATTACAATGGCTTCCCCCCCAATACCGTCCCTCCCACCCACAACCCTTCCCTTTTCCACTCCCTCTCCCCTTCCATTCACATCAAGATTCATTTTCGATTCTCTTAATATACAGAAGATCAGCTTAGTATACATTAAGTAAGGATTTCAACAGTTTGCTCCCACACAGAAACATAAAGTGAAAAATAATAGATGATTTTTTTTAAATGATGATGAAATCAGATCAGACCTATTGTCATGTTTAATCCCAGTGAGAGTCAAGTTGGGAATTGCTAATTTCTTTTTTTTTTTTTTTTGTTACAGAAGATCAGTTTAGTATGCATTAAGTAAAGATTTCAACAGTTTGCACCCCCATAGAAACACAAAGTGAAATATATTGTTTGAGTACTCGTTATAGCATTAAATCTCAATGCACAGCACATTAAGGACAGAGATCCTACATGAGGAGTAAGTGCACAGTGACTCCTGTTGTTGACTTTACCAATTGACACTCCTGTCTATGGCATCAGTAATCTCCCTATGCTCCAGTCATGAGTTTCCAAGGCTATGGAAGCC